ACTCTTTTAACAAGTCCCGAGGTTTTGTGTTCTGCGCAATTGACGTCAAATTTATTCTTTTGAATTCCTTTAGTGTTGTAAAAATTTCAAAAGAATAAATTTGACGTCAAGTGCAGAGAAAACAATACCTTGGGACTTAAAATGGTGTATAGGGTAGCACGTTTGTGAATAGTCCAAACAGGTTATTCGGCCTGAATAAAAAAAAATTCGTACAATTTTGAAGTCAATTGCCTTTTTAAAATAGAAATTACATAAAAAAGAAAGAACGAAAGGAAGGAAGGAAGAGTGAAAGAAAAAATAAACAAGGTGAAACATCAATTCATGAAACYTCTACGGCCGTGTAAACTGTTCTCCAAGTATAAGATTATTGTATTCTATATAATTGTTATAATTACAATTTTTGATATGTTTTTCCTTCTTCATTTTTAGGAGAAACTTCAACTATTGGTTCTATAACTTTGACGCCCTTTTTTACATCTACGGCATCTAGTGCAATATCTGTTAGTTCTAACCAAAGCCAATCCTTGGAAACTGCATCCAACTTCTCAATAACAACAACGCCGTCTTCAGAATCAACAACATTATTACTATCACTATCATCATCAACATCAGCAAACACAACGGCAATAACATCAGCAGCAGCAACACCAGCGTCAGTAACAGCTGCAGCAGAAGCAACAACAGGAGCAACAGCAACAGCAGCAGCGACAACAGGAGCAACGACAGCAACAGCAGCAATAACAGAAGCAACAACAACAACAGCAGCAACAGCAACAATAGGAGCAACAACAACAGCAGTAGCAACAACAACAACATCATCAGTAACAACATCAGCAACAGCAGCAACAGGAGCAACAACAGCGGCAGCAGCGACAACAACAGCAACAACAACAACGACAGCAGGAGCAACAACAACAGCAGCAGCAACAACAACAGCAGGAGCAACAACAACAACAGCAGCAACAACAACAACAGGATCAACAACAACAACAACAGGATCAACAACAGCAGCAACAACAACAACAGGAGCAACAACAACAGCAGCAACAACAACAACAGCAGCAACAACAACAGCAGCAGCAACAACAACAACAGCAGCAACAACAACAACAGGATCAACAACAGCAACAACAACAACAACAGGAGCAACAACATCAGCAACAGCAACAATAGGAGCAACAACAACAGCAACAACAACAACAGGAGCAACAACAACAGCAGCAACAACAACAGGAGCAACAACATCAGCAGCAACAACAACAACAGGAGCAACAACATCAGCAGCAACAACAACAACAGGAGTAGCGATAACAGCAGCGACAACAACATCAGCAACAACAACAACAGGAGGAACAACATCAGCAACAGCAACAACAGGAGGAACAACATCAGCAACAGCAACAACAGGAGGAACAACATCAGCAACAGCAACAACAGGAGNATTGCTGCCGCAGCGTAGCGAGCCTGAGCGAGCGAAGCGTAGGCAGCAACTCTAATCTGGAGAAGGGCAAAATTTCTCGATTTTATCCCAGGATGCAGTACGTTTTCATTAACCGTCTTCCTTTGCGCCACTATAAAAGGGTGAACAGTCCCGGATGTTCTTTCTCCCTTGTGTTTACATTAGCTTGTGTTCTTGAGGTGAGTCGAGTTTTGTTGTGTTATTTTGATTTTTCTTGCTGTTTTTATTATTCAGAGCACTAATTCAAACAAGTATTAACCTCGAGTTCATATTTTCTGTTTCAGTTTTATCATTATTCCGTTATTTCTCGATCGTCTCTTGACAAAGATTGTGGTCTAAAGAGTTCTCGACAGTGAGTGCATCAAGGGCGCTAGATCACTGAAATTGTTCGAGATGTCGCTTAATCTATCCAACCTATGATAGTCGATAGTAAATTAAGTTTTACTTATTATCTGAAATGCATCCTGAATCTATCGTCTTAGCCGCTAAAAGGCCTTTGATTTTACGAAACTCATTCAAATGATCGGGTTGCTGATTTTTGCGGTCTGGCCAGGAATAGCCTGCGTTACATCCGGTTTTATTTGCCACATAAAACCAGATGTAACGATATTCATCATTAAAATCACTTTGCGCTGGCTTTTATTTGAATCAAATGTAGTTCTTGAACCAAATATGATTGCCGTCTGTGCCAAGAGTAGATTTTATTGATTTTTATGGTATAAAAAATTTGAATCTGACACTTAATTTTTTGTAATAAATGATTTTGAATTATACTGAAAACGTCTGTTTTTCCCCCTTGTCTATTTATAAAAGACGTTGCAATAAGGGTTCACAACAGAATAGCATTCGGGACAAGATTTTCCATGTGAGAGTAATACAAATGCAGCAAAACCGCCTATACTAGAGTGAAGTCATGCAACACATCAAACGCCGATCACAYGKTGGCAATTAAGMTACCGGGCAGCACTTTCATACCTTTTAGGTAAACTAGTTTATATTGCTTATCAAATTCCAACATAAGGTAAAGCATATTTCGAAAAAAAATCCAGAATAAAATATTATTTGTAAGAGAAAATCGAAGTTAAAATCGTATGCAAATCAGGACAAATCTCTTGCTCATATAAAGATGCGGTCACGGCAATGATTTTCCATTGTGTTTACCTTATGAATTATTAATGAATTTGATAAGTATCCTTAGAAGTGGGTACATCCCATGGCATTTCTACACAAAGATGATAACATCTGTTATTTCTCGAGCCTTTTCCAACCACAATCCTCTTCCCCTTTTCTAGATGTTGTTGTCTTCTTTGTGTTATAGTTTAAGTAATGGTCCGAGTAAGAAGCAGGCAAGCAAACGGCATTGGAATGCACGAAGATGCTAATTTTGTATTGTATAATCCATCCATCTCATTGGTTAAAACATTAAAATTTGGCATAATTTCAAAAGTAATATTTTTTTTTTAATATTTTATTTAATATCTGATTCCGACTTCATAAAAGCTTTCCTTAGCTTTAATATTAATAGCGATTCTATGTGGGGAACATAGCAAATTAGAAGCATGTTTTGGCTATTGTTTTGAGTGCTTATGATTGAACAAGATCTTTTAATACAAAAGAAACTTTGTTTCAAAACAGAGTTTATTCACACTTTATTTTAAAAATGTGTTACCCATAGGTTGATATATAATCAGTGAGAAGACCAAGACATTCGTACGTGGGAAAATTGCAATGCCGCAGAACAATAGAAAGTTGCCTGCTTTTTGCGCGCATTGTTACTTAACTAAAATTATAGATCTGCTTAACTAAAAATTATAGATATGCCAAAAACAGGGCGAGAAAAGCATATATACGCGCTTTGCTTACTTGTTTTGATGAGCAAGCGCTCTTAACAAAATGCGGAATACCTGTGGTATTASGTTACGGTCTCGTGCCTCGTGTAATAAATCCTAGTTAGTTCGTAGTCCACGAGGCCGAGAATAACGTCGCCTTATTTTAACTGATTTTCATTTTAAAAGGTGCTCCCTCTGCCGAGAAATCTTTTAYAGTTGAGGCTGTTTTACCGGCGGTCAACTGGACTGATAGCCTAAGTGATGCCTCCTCACCAGAATTCATAGCTCTCGAGGGAAAAGTCAAGAAAGAACTTACAACTTACTTTGAAARWGAACACYCCAAGACTTTTAGGAAAGTGGACGKCATCAAATTCGTAAAAAGCAGCGTAAAATCTGTATTCAAGGTGTACTTCGAAACGTCTGCATCCATAGATGCCAAYTCGCTTAAAACCGAGATTGAAAAGATCGACAAGGGTGTTTTGCAGGGAGCAAGAGTGGAAAAAATATCACAGGATTCTCCAAATGAAGAAAAAAAGAAAGCATCTATAGAGACTTGGGTGATTGTTGTCATAGTGGCGAGTGTGGTGATTCTAATTTATACAATTGTGCTGATAATTCTTGTGGTAAGACATACATATACCTTTTGTGTTATCAAAGAGATKTCGCAGAGATTTAAGTCGAAAGCACGTCCGAAATTTAAATTCGTTGCTAGGGGCGGACCAGTTAACTTTTTAGGGGGGAGGGGAGAGRGGAGGGGGCCTTGAAGATTTTGTCCTTGCAAGAATTTCTTTTAGGACTTCAGGCGCGCGCATATAGTTTTTTTTTTTGTAAAGTTACAAAAGTTTTAATGCAGATGTTTCGAAATTTTGCCTTGCAGGATCCCCCCCCCCCCCCCCTCCTCAAAATTCTAATGGATTGTCGCAATTTTTTGCTCTTGTTTTGATCTTGCCAATTTGCTGATGTAATACCCTCCCTCGCAAACAAAATATATAAAACACTCTGCCCACCTCTCCCCCCATTATTAGTGAATAAAGACTTTTTCTT